GTCCCTTTTATGACGTCACACCCAGCCTTGTGGAAGGGAGGGGGCGTGCTTAAAACCACTGTAAAACATACCAACTTTTCATATTATATACAGTATTTTGGAATAAAAGAGAAAATAAAAATTAATTTTGGGTGGTCCTTATCTTTATTTTTAGTAAGCACACTGCATTAGCTTTGTGAAAAATTTAAATGAAATAATTAAAAAGGAAGAAAAAAACAGAAATACACAACGCATTCTCATCCTTTAACGTCATATAGAGCGCTATATGACAAAACGGCGCTATACTACGCTAAAGGCACCCGTTATCGTTAATATAACACGTGCTGTGAGGGCTAAGTTTAGGTGTGGGGTAGGGTGTACGTGTCATATTCACGCTAAAGGATTTATAACGTCTTGGGTTCGCGTGTTATATTAACGATAACGGGTGCCATGTGCGTAGTATAGCGCCGTTTTGTCATATAGCGCTCTATATGACGTTAAAGGATGAGAACGGGCTGAAATACACATCTAAATTAAACGAGCGAGAGAAAAAAACCCATCTGTCAATGCCATGCTGACATGGATAAAAACCAGCCATGTATTGGGGATTTCTTGTTGAGCTCCTTCCCTGATCTTTGAACACGGTTGCAGTTAGTTTGCAATGTCCTCCCAGATGTTTTGTTTTTCCATATTTGTATGATGTCTTTAAATCTGTTAAAAATAAAATCTTTGTTTCCCTCTTTCTCCTCTAAAAGGACATTAATTTTATCTTTTTGAAATGTAGCATATCTTTTGTTTAGCCATTTTGTCAGTGTGTATGTCTGTGCTTTGTATCTATATACACTTGTCTTAATTTCTAAACCACAACAAATAACAATTATTAGGTCAAACGTTCGGAATATGACTCATAGAGGTTAAGGTTATATTTCAGCACTTTGTGATTGGACAGCGACGTTGAAGTAGCACGTAAAAAACGCATTCTCGTCTAGAATTGCGGCGAGCCTTCGTAACCTTGCACGTAGAGAGCTAAGATACATCGTCATCGGGAAACCCAGTGAAATGAAGTACTGTTGTATGTTGATTAGATTAACTAAGGCTTCAGGGAAGGTGCATTAGCAGGCAGGTGCAGGCTGTGGCGTGAGGAGATGAAAACAAATAATCCTCTCTAAATGCTTACTTTCACCCCAAATTATTTTGTAAATGCACTATTTTCAAGCCCAAGCATCAGTCAATTTCATATTTACATTTTTAAAAAAAGAGCCATTCATGATATTTTTTTGTATGTGTGTAACAATTCAGTCTTACCTTATTAACATTAAGTAAATTATGTCCATAATAGGCCTACTTATCAACAGTCGACTTAATCATTATTATGTTAAATACACATTTATTGCAAAGTTTGCAAAAATCTTTTCCACAGCAGAGCTGTATCAGTGTACTAACTTGGTCTTTGATGTTCACTTTGTAACATTGATCAATAATAACTTTCCTTAATGACATTACATCCCATTTCAGCCCATTCTCACCCCCAAGGCGTCACCTAACTGACACCTTGGGAAGCATTTGACCATGCTTCAATATCTGACGCTTTAGGTGCCCTTTAGCGTCAGTTAGATAACGCCCTAGGATCGCATGTACCCTACCCCCACCCCACACCTAAACCTAACCGCGTCCTCTGACGCTTTCCTTTAGTGTCAGTTAGATGACACCGTAGGATCGCGTCATGTAAGTGGCGCCTAAAACGGCAAATATTGAAGCATGGTCAAAGGTGACGCCTTGGGGTGAGAATGCGTTGCCAATTTAGAATTGTTAACAGATCATTATTAAACCTATAAGCCAATATGCAGAACAGTACCACCGCAAATCTTCCCTTGAGAGAGTATTTGCTTTTGTATGTGTTATTGTACATTCAACTTGTTTATGTTAATTATGTTAATCACTGAGACTGGTAAATATTAGAATATGAACTGTCTGCACTCTGCTCTGAAACAGGTTAATAGGCCGGAGATAACTGTGACGCACAGAGGTGTCTTTACCTGAGGCACCCCTCTTAACTGGTCTACACTGACTGTGGTAGTTAAGAGCCTTAGCACAAGTCCAATAATTAGCCTTAAGCCACTAAACAGATCATTGTATGGGTCACACAAGTGAGGAAGACCAGAGATTAAAACAGAAGAGGAAGTAGAGCTTTGACCACTGAGAGTGACAGAATGGACAGATAAAAAGAGGATCTGCAGTGATTTTGGTGATAAGAAAATGAGAACGATTTTAAGATAATGGAATTTCTTTTGAATGTTACTACTTCACGTGTGTCCCTTTCATACTATGTCTAGTCCCCGCTACTCTTGTTAAAGGGATTCTCCACTTTTTTGGAAATAGGCTCATTTTACAACTCCCCCAGAGTTAAACAGTTGAGTTTTACCCTTTTCAAATCCATTCAGCTGATTTTCTGATATTTAGAAGAATATCAGTAACCAGACCGTATCTGGTCTCATTGACTTCCATAGAAGGAAAAAAATATATACTATGGAAGTCAATGAGACCAGAAACTCTGGTTACTGATATTCTTCTAAATATCAGAAAATCGGCTGAATGGATTTGAAAACTGTTAAAATCAACTGTTTAACTCTGGGGGAGTTTTAAAATGAGCCTATTTCCAAAAAAAGTGGAGTGTCCTTTTAAGCAAAGTGTCCAAGGTCCTGCTATACTTACCAGACGAGTTTTGAGCAAGCTTATGTGACAAAATGAGTATAACATAAAATACCACAATGATATTGGACTGGTGTTGGATGTTTGGTTCAACCTTTGCAACATGGTTGTATGGGAAATCTACTGTTTGTTTTTCAGGAAGAGATTACCTGAGAGGAGTATTATGAGTCGAAAGACTTATATCCTACTTTGGTCATGCAATGACTTTTCACGGGATGACACAATGAACCCTTTTCACATTTCCGGGGTTTCCAGAAGTGAAAGTTATCATGGTTGGGTAAGTGGTGAATGGGAGACAACAACAAATATAATTTTTTCCATTCCCATTTGCCCCCAACCCCCCCCCCCCCCCAAAAAAAAAAAATCCATGATATTACATTTCCATTGACTGAAAATTGATTGATTACGACAAGTGATTTATTGATTGAGAGATTAATTACGTTGGTCAAAACAAAGTTGTCAAACTTGTTGTATTAGAAGCAAAGTATAAAGTTATAAATATTAATAAAAAAATGAAAAACTTGCTACTTTCTTAAAAACATATATATTTGGCAAGCTTAGTGACTGCTGTAAAGTCTCTATGAAATCAAAATTGAAGTTGTTTGGCTTTTAGTATGAAAATTACTGTATAAGCTAGTGTGCTCCAAAACATTGACAAAATTTCCATTTTGAAGATATAAGCATTCAAAATGTATGGTCTCTCACTTGATTTTGATGACATCACTGCACCTCATTAGATGGTCACTCTCTCCCCAAATAGACACTAAAACTGAGACTAAAATCATCACTTGTTCACACATTTGCTCTTTTCTACATTAATGGCACATGCAGGATGTGGAACGTGTAAAATAGGCTTTTCATGCATTGGGGCAAATGAAGTTGGGTTTCAAGTTAGTGTCACTCGAACAGTACATTGAATAATGCTGCACGTTTTAAAGGAGTAGTTCACTTTACAAACTTCCTCTCTCTAATAATGCAGTTATTAGAGAGAGAGAGATCTTGAAATAATGACACAGAAAAGCATGTCAATATTATTATTTATTTATAAATTAAATTCGTATTAATTAATTTGTTCATTCTTATTTTATATAATTGACAGTAGATAATCCAATAAATGAAACACACAAAAAAAAACCCTTTTAACAAGTATGCCTATGAATAATTAGGCTATTTATTTATATTATAAATTACGAAAATCCGTGCAGCAGGACTATTAATTTATTTATTTAGCCTATTCATTTTGATTTTCTATTTAGCCTATTATAAATAGGACTATATACTTTATTAAAAATGAACTCTATGTGTCCATTGATTGTGAAGTTAGACATCGGAAATTGCAGATCAAGCACATGAGGCTGCATGTTTTTTTTTCTTGTTATGAATTGAATCCTATTACTGTTAACTACACGCAGTGATATGGAACTGTAATGCGGTCAAACCTGCCTGAAACTACTTTAGCCATACATTTCCCTAAAAAAAATTGCACACCTTTATAACATACTCGACCTATCAGAATCAAGCATTAAACAGCCCTGTAGTATAACATAAAATAATGAACTGTCATGAACAGGCTTTTTTGTTAATGGAGAAAAAAAAAACAAATGTTGAAAATGTATTGCTGCTGATCAATACAATTGAATTCTTTAAACGGTATTAAAAAAATCATAATTATGTGCAATTTAGTAGCTTTAAGCTTGTTTTTCACAGAATTTAGCAGTGACCTCTTTTTTACTTTTGTTTTGGAGTTTAAAGTAGCTTAATATCATTTTCTAACTCAAATTCATGATTATTTGATCTTTTGTCCAAGATGTTCATCACTAAGTTGTGAACATTTCACTTCTGATAGTCCATTTCTCAGCTCTGACACAAAGAACCCTCTACAGACGTCAAGGACAATCCAGCTGTCAAGCATTTAAGGCTTTTCACATAGGCCAAGATTCCAGTCTCAAAGCTGGAGATAATACGATGGGAAGCAGATTAAATAGGAGTTAACGACGAGTGATTAGCTGCTTTATCTGCACTGGGCGGCAGATTAACGGCCATCTCTAACACAGAACCACACTACAGGGTGAAAGGGATGATCCGAATTAGCCAGGTTTTGGTGCTGGAAATGAGATTAAGTGAATTGTGTGTCTTGCACTGCACAAATGTAGTTTTGCATGTATTGAATCTGTTTGTCGTGTATTTGTGTGCCTGCACAAGAGCCTGTGTGTTTGGTAGATGACAACAAACCTCAAATCCTTCCATCAGGACCATTTGGGCGGAGCAAAATGGTATCTTTCGGATCCCTATAAAAGAGGGATCACTTGACAATATTTCGAGGGAGCCTTCATCTGGTGTTCAACGAAGAGAGAATTTACATCGATACGGGTTGGACTCTTTTTGCGATGCTGCAGTAATCTACAGAGGGAGATAACACAATTGATTGAAACTTGAAGGTGTTAAAGCGTTCCTCAGTGGAGTGGTTGCCAGTTTCAAGCAAGATGAAGGCAGTACCTGAGTTTCACGAAGACTTCTGGATCCCCATCCCTTTAGATACCAACAATATCTCTGCTTACAGTCCTTTCCTGGTCCCCCAGGACCACCTGGGTCACCATGGCGTGTTCATGGCCATGGCTGCCCTTATGTTCTTCCTTTTCGTCGCAGGGACTGCGATCAACATCCTTACCATTGTTTGCACAATTCAATACAAGAAACTCAGATCTCACCTTAACTATATTCTTGTGAACCTTGCCGTTTCAAACCTGTGGGTGTCCGTTTTTGGTTCCTCGGTAGCATTCTACGCCTTCTGGAACAAATACTTTGTCTTCGGGGTGATGGGATGTAAAATTGAGGGCTTCACTTCAACAATTGGAGGTATAACATTATCATTTTAATGCTTCTGTGTTAGCCTGCAGTAGTTCATCACTGTAGTTCATATAAAAAAATGTGAGCAGAACGTATTCTTACATTCTGATATGAGATGGTTTAACCAAACCCTTATTCCATTTTTTTTCTCTGTTGTTGCAGGAATGGTGAGTTTGTGGTCTCTTGCTGTGGTGGCATTTGAAAGGTGGCTGGTCATTTGCAAACCCCTTGGGAACTTTACCTTCAAGACCACTCATGCCATAATTGGCTGCATACTTCCTTGGTGTATTGCATTGTCAGCTGGACTCCCTCCACTGTTTGGATGGAGCCGGTAAGTCCCACTGCTCACACAATGGCAAAAAATCAATGCCTCTTTCAAACACCTTTTTTCTCCACTCCTATACAACTTGTTCAAGTCCCTGAGTTAAGTTCTCTGATTGAATTGTGCAGAGTTGTCTATCCCATCAACCTCATTGAGATTTGTTTTACAGGTACATCCCTGAAGGTTTGCAGTGCTCTTGTGGACCTGACTGGTATACGACTAACAACAAATACAACAACGAATCCTATGTCATGTTTTTGTTCTGCTTCTGCTTTGCGGTTCCTTTCACCACCATCGTGTTCTGTTATGGTCAGCTGCTCATCACACTCAAATTGGTAAGTACAAATTGCATTTACCATTGAATACTGCCTCAGAATTATTAACTTGTTTCTGGATAACACAGTCTCATCCCAAGTCATACTGTATAACTGACGTCTTGGGACGTCTTTTGACCATACGTGGAGTGAGTATGAAAAAACTTTTGCTGATCATTTACTCACCCCCATGTCCTCCAAGATGTCCATGTCTTTCTTTCTTCAGTCGAAAAGAAATTAAGATTTTTGATGAAAACATTCCAGGATTTTCTCCATATAATGCACTTCATTGGGAACCAAACGGTTCAAGGTCCAAAAGACACTTTCAGTGCAAACTGTAAACTGTTCAAAGGGCTTTAAACGATTCCAGACAATGAATAAGGGTCTTATCAAGCGAAACGATCGCTCATTAAAAAAAAACAAAAAAAACAAAGTTTAAGTTTTATAAGCTCAAATGGTCGCCTTGCTCTGTTCTGTGATGCACGTTCATGACTCTCCTGTTCGAACTCGTTCATCACAATTAACAAATCCTTTTCCAACTCAATTCGTTCGTTTCGTTCGTTGAATAAACCAAATGACTCGGAAAAAGATTTGTTCATTTTGATGAACGAGTTCGAACAGGGGAGTCACAAACGTGCGTCACACACAAGACAGAGCAAGGTGAGCATTTGAGCTTATAAAATTAAACTTATAGTTAAACTTATAAAACGTATAGTTATTTATTAAATGAGCGATCGTTTGGCTTGATAAGACCCTTTTTCATCGTCTGGAATCGCTTAAAGCCCTTTGAAGAGTTTGCAGTTACTGAAAGTGTCATTTGGACATTGAACCGTTTGGTTCCCACTGAAGTGCATTACGTATATGGAGAAAAAATCCTTGAATGTTTTCATCAAAAACCTTAATTTCTTTTCAACTGAAGAAAGAATGACATGGATATCTTGGATGACATGGGGTTGAGTAAATTATCAGCAAAAGTTTTTTCAAAAGTGAACTACTCCTTCAAGTTAGGAATAGGAATTTTACACCATACAATGTTGTAATTTAGTCATGATATTTCAAGTAATTTCATTTCCAGCACTAAAACCTGGCTAATCCGGATCATCCCTTTCACCCTGTAGTGTGGTTCTGTTAGAGATGGCAGTTAATATAAATTAATAAATATTAAAATCACAAAACCACATTATTTTACATATTATGTTAATTCCAGTTATTTATTTTGATCTGAAAACTAGATAGGAAAGTGAACATTTAAATGATAAAATGTTCTTTTTTTGAAGGTAAGCTTCACACTTACATTCTTACTTAGTTGGTCCAAATCCTAATAACACAACTGATAAAAATATGATTTATTTATTTTTTACATGAATAAATGATAAATGTTTTTCATTGCTCTGCCACATTGGGATGCACATCCCTGTCCACTAGATGGAGACAATGAATAGGTTACTGTGGTTGCCCGTTGCTGTAAAATCCCCTGTTTGTCCTACCAGGCAGCCAAAGCTCAAGCGGATTCAGCTTCGACCCAGAAGGCAGAGAAGGAGGTGACAAAGATGGTGGTGGTGATGGTGTTCGGCTTCTTGATATGCTGGGGACCATATGCTTGCTTTGCTCTCTGGGTCATTTCCCACCGTGGTGAAACATTTGACCTGAGAATGGCAACCATACCATCCTGCCTTTGTAAAGCCTCAACAGTCTACAATCCTGTCATCTACGTCTTAATGAACAAACAGGTATAGTATTATGTGTACATTTGGGTTTTAATGTTGAAGTTTGTTCCCATAAGGCTACAGTAATAAATGACTTGTTCATTTGGCATAACTAATCACTTCAAATAATATGTGCTACTCATTTCCTTTGAAACCTAGTTCCGTTCCTGTATGATGAAGATGGTCTGTGGCAAGAATATTGAGGACGACGAGGCTTCTACTTCATCTCAGGTCACCCAGGTCTCCTCTGTTGCACCAGAGAAATAAACCCATTCTTAACGAAACCTCTTCCTGCTGACAGAACCAATCTGCTGCATGGCAGTGAAAAATTATTTTTCAATGATTGTAAATAATAAACATAGACCCACTAGGAATTTTTGCTTTTAATGTCAACATTTTTGTAACTTGGTCTTGGCTTGCTGAACAAGTAGAATGAGTAGAAGTTCATTGTTATCATTAAAAATGTACAATAAATGCAAAGAAAGAAAGAAAGAATTGTGGTGTTAAATTTATCAGTTCAAGAATTGTGACATACAATTTTAAATGAATTATATTACATTAGTCTCATTTCGTCCTGTTTTAAATGGACTGTTGTACAACAACTAACACATGAAAACAGAGAAGTATCTCATATATCTGATTGTAATCAAGTCCGTAGCTCTTCAGTTATGAGTAACCGAGAAACACATCCAGGGATGGTCTGAAAAGCAAAGTCAAACAGAGTATTATCTATTATGCAAAACTATTATTAATTCACTCAACAATAATAATGAGAATTTATGTGCAGTAGTTTCAATGTCTCTTTAGAAATACAGGAGAAATGATCTGTATTGTATTACTTGCTTACTCACCTTGTACTTCATCCAATAAGTTAACTTTCAAATCAAGATGCAATTGCAAAGAAAGAATATGAAATTAGCTTTTGTCATTTAACACAATAAATACAAGAACAATATTAGCATAGTTAATCTAGAAATTAAACCACGAATGATGTTAGAGAAACATTGAGCAGTGAAAGCAAAGTTTTGCCCATGTTAGATTAACATCAATTATATGGATTAATTCCATTCAAAAAATGTGAAATAAATGTTCAGTACTAAATACCATGAATATAGCAGTTGTCCAATGGCAGACCATGAGACCAAACTATTATCTTGAGGATTCGTTGAGAATTCAGTTGTATATCCGAGTTCTGCTAGTAGTGAACTTTTGCCAATCACGAATAGTTCAGAACTAGCGGAATTCCAGACATAGGACTGACTGAGTGATGCCCCTTGATACTTTCTGATCCATCTGTTTCTGAAAAACATCCTTTTCAACTACATCTCTAAATATATCTGTGATTGACACTGCCATATAGCATCAAAAAACACTAGTGACCCTTGACTCTCAATGCTGCACATTAATTCCAATAGTCTACTCAACTTCAATTTATTTAGATTAGCTTCCACTTTAAAACGAAGTGTAAAAGATCAAAACGAACAAATACTCGTTTTGGATAAACACATACATCAGTACAATTCTCTGCAATTTTAAGAATGAAAAGGAAACAACTGATAGAGTAAAAAAGTGTACAGACTGCTCTCGTCTTCGTGTTGGCTCCATCCTCACCCTGGTTTGGTCTGTTCACTTCCTCCTGCTCCACTTTGCCACAGTAGATAGAGAAGCCGATGGCTGAAAAACAGAAAATAAAACGCCTATCGTCAGAAACAGGGGGAGATTAAAACTGACCTCATCCAGATTTTCAGGTAAACCCTGCTTTCCCTAAACTGAACCTGCAATCCATTGGGATTAGGAAGGTTTGGGCTGCATCCTTGTCATTACTAATTAGGATCTCGTGAGGGTACCTGGGTACCCCAGTTGTCCCAATAAGCTGATTTGGACTTGGAATGTAACCTAGATGTCTGACTTACAGTTACCCTGCACATGCTGATGATTGAAATTGTGTTACATTTGTGACGATTGAAATTGTGTTGCATTTGTTTTAATTGGACATGAGATAATATGAATGATTAAGCTTTTTTGGGCATGAATTGTGTGGCAAGGTGTTTACAATGAATTTGATGTAAATGAGAAAATGTTAATGTCCTTTATAAAGGCTTAAATATTCTTTAGCTAAGTTATGCCATTATTTACATCAGAAAAAAAGGTACAAAAGCTGTCACTGGGGTGGTACCCTTTCAAAAGGTACATCTTTTATTTACACCTAAGCAATATCATCTTAAAAGGTTCATATTAGGCCTAGTCCTCAAATGGTATTTAGTAGCCTACCTTTCGAAAGAGTACCGCCTCAGAAACAGTTTTTGTACCTTTTATTCAGAGAGTAGTCAATTCAATTCACATTTATTTGTATAGTGCTTTTCACAATACATGTCGTTTAAAGCAGCTTTAAAGAAAATGCATGTTTCTGAATAGAATAAAAGATATGCAATAGATTCTGTGCAACTCTGCAATATACATTCGTAGTGTGTGAATACGCAAAGATGACATATTTGTGCAATGTACCAAATAATTCTACAATTTACAAAACAATTTTAAAAAGTGATTTACTCCTTCAATAGGCAGCAGAGGCTATCATATAGAAAAATCCTAACTCTAGAATCCTATCTTTTTGTTTTAGTGTGATTTTAGTCAGAAACCTTAGAAACTTTTACATTTGAAATTCTAATTTTAACTGGAATGTTTCTTATATGCTGGAGCACCAACAAAGGAGCCAGCGCACTCTAATATGTTGCTATTTTAGAGAATGACAATGGATTTCTTTGTTGCAGTCTCATGCCTCTTTAAGTAAAAAGTGTGCTGTACAGTAATACTGTACAAGAAGCTTCAGTCAAGGTCAACATGAAGAAAGCAGAAAGCATCAAAAGGCTGTCACCTTATAATCACTCTTGTCTCGGTCTTGCCAAAGGTCAGCAGCGTACATTGTTTTGGTTTACCTGTGATGGCTTCAACAATCCTAGGAAGGAACAGTAGCTTAGGCCTCCTGTAAGCCTAATGAATGAGTTTTTGTTCTGCTCCCGATACCTGTTTTGACCTCAACAATTCTCCACCCTGTAAGCCAGGGCATCCTCTTTTTTTGCATATAAAAGACCCTTTGATTTGTGCCCAAAGTCTGTCTGTGCGAGTCGGCCGGAGACAGAAGGTAGTAAAAACACAAAGGCCCAAAGCTAAGTAACTACAGGTTTGGGCTATACAACATCCTTCAAAAATGGCAGAGCGTTTGGGAGAAGTGATGTTTGCAGCCAGGCGAAGAGGAGAGGAAACAACAAGAGAAGCAATGTTCACATATACCAACAGCAATAACACCAAAGGTGAGCTTTTAAAATGTCTTCTATTTCCATTTTAAATTGTAATTCGAGTAGGTTTAAATAGGGAGGTTGTGCGTATAGAATATGTTGGCAAAGAAATGTACAGGTATTTGTTCAATCATAGCTATTCTGTTAGAATGATAAAGCCGTGTGAACGTCTTTGTGAGCTTTTAAAGCTTCCGCAATAGTGGCAGTGTACTGGACATTTTGGCAGTCTTACTCTTAAACTTCAAATGTGTGGTCTTTTGACCTTAGCCGGAGAACAATTTCAGACTGATGAATATGGAGCATCAGAATAATGAGAGTTGGTTACAAAGGCTGTTAGGTGAAAACTCCTTAAAGATGGTAATATTACTGCTCTTTATTTCTCATTTCCAGATCCCTTTGAGGGACCCAACTACCACATTGCCCCTCGATGGGTGTACAACCTCTCAACATGCTGGATGATATTTGTAGTCATTGCTTCGGTCTTCACCAATGGCCTGGTGCTGGTGGCCACGGCCAAATTCAAGAAGCTCCGTCACCCTCTCAATTGGATTTTGGTCAACCTCGCTATAGCTGATCTAGGAGAGACTGTGTTGGCCAGCACCATCAGCGTGATCAACCAGATTTTCGGCTACTTTATCCTCGGACATCCCATGTGTGTCTTTGAGGGCTACACTGTGTCTGTATGTGGTAAGTTAAAGACATCATTATGAATACATTAAACCAAAGTTCAATATATAAATATATTATTTCACATAATTGAAACTTTGTGAGTTTTTAATGATATCTAACAATCAACAGGTATCTCTGCTCTGTGGTCTTTGACTATCATCTCTTGGGAGAGATGGGTGGTGGTCTGCAAACCATTTGGTAATGTCAAGTTTGATGGTAAATGGGCAGCTGGTGGCATCATCTTCTGCTGGGTTTGGGCTGCTGTCTGGTGTGCACCTCCCATCTTTGGCTGGAGCAGGTAAAATGACTTATTAAATTATCAATAAGTAATGAAGGCATTTGACAGTACATTTATATCTTTGTAATTCATCATATAATCGTTGAATTCTTTGGGTGAGACCAACAAATAAGTTCCACACAAGCAGAAATGTGGATTTTCAATTCATTATTTTTCAGATATTGGCCTCACGGTCTGAAAACCTCCTGCGGCCCTGATGTCTTCAGTGGAAGCGAGGACCCCGGTGTCCAGTCCTACATGGTTGTCCTAATGATCACCTGTTGTATCATACCTCTGGCCATCATCATTCTCTGCTACATTGCCGTGTACTTGGCCATTCATGCTGTAAGTTGTCTCCTTGATGGCTGTCAAAAGTTTATTCCAGTTTCTAAAAAGGCACTAAGCATCTATCATTTCTTTCCAACAGGTCGCCCAGCAACAGAAGGATTCTGAGTCCACACAGAAAGCTGAGAAGGAAGTGTCCAGAATGGTGGTTGTCATGATCGTGGCCTACTGTGTTTGCTGGGGTCCTTATACGTTCTTCGCCTGCTTTGCAGCTGCAAACCCAGGCTATGCCTTCCATCCACTGGCAGCAGCCATGCCTGCCTACTTTGCCAAGAGCGCCACCATATACAACCCCGTCATTTATGTCTTCATGAACCGACAAGTAAGTCAATGCTGTTGACACAATGAGCACAATGAGAAAACTTTGGATGAATCTTTGCAAAATAATCTTGATTTCTCTTTCTTCACAGTTCCGCGTATGCATCATGCAGCTCTTTGGAAAGAAGGTGGATGATGGGTCTGAGGTGTCTACATCCAAGACAGAAGTGTCCTCTGTGGCTCCTGCATAAATAGAGCGATGGTCTTGAGTCAGACATGGGAAAAACGATGAAAATTGGACTTTTTATATTCCTTGTTTTACCCTCAACGTATCTTGACAACTTTGCTTCCAGATATTTCCCTCGGAGTGATGGGGAATACCTTGTTGCATGGCACTGTGTGTTAACACATTACTTGCTCAACGGCCCCGTGACTTAATATCTACCGGAATGATGTTACAGTTTTTTATGGTATTCAGTTGTCACACAATCATTTGTCCATGGCACTACATCCACTGACTATTCACAAGGTTGTATGCCTATATATAGCACTGCTTTGTGGGAATGTGTCACTCAGCGTGGATTAACTTACAGCAAAAAGTAATCGCCTCATTGTAATGTACAATTTCTGCTGAATTGCTGTTCAGTGGCAATGTAATAATATCTCTGTAATCTTAATTTTGTAGCCATCTTGCAAGAAAACAAAAATGACAAAAAAAAGTTTGATAGATAGAGGCCTGCCATGTACAGCATGTCATATGGTTCTATTTTTTTCTTTGATGAAAATTAAAAAAAAAAAAGCAGCAAAATAAATGTTCTGTTCTCAGTGTCTTTTATTACACACATGCACATCTCTCTGAAATTATTTTGTTGTGGGTCTCCATAAGGCAGCAATTTAAATAGTCAAGATATGGCCCAATTCTCAGATACGCATTTTCGCATATCATTTTCACATATAAACTTTTTATTTTTTATTTTATGTGCATTTAAATTGCTATACTTATTATATCCCCACCTCCTTACACAACAAGGAAGTTACTAATGCAATGCTGACAAAAAATATGACATCCTTATGGCTTCTGACTGCCATAATCCATCTCACTCTATGTTTTTTTCTCTTTTAGAAAATCTTGGAAATGCAATAGTCATTTTTTATGAAGCAAATGCAAATAGAAAAAATAATATTTGCTGTGGGAGCCCACGTCGACAGACATTTATCCTGCTATAATAGTTTAGGCGTATTTCTGCATTCCTAACCTGGAAATGTGAAAATAACCCATGATCTTGTGCGTCCCTAACTTCACTTTTGTACACTTCCTTAAATGTAACTTATTAGAAAGTACAATAAGGAAATTGCACTGCCCTCTTAGAAAAAGAGGGTTCTATATATGTAGCATAGGGTTCTTTACTCAACTGCAAAGGACCTTTTATGCAAAAAAAAAAAAAAAAAAAAAAATGATAATGACAAGAAAAGAACACTTTTGGCACAAAGGTTCTTTATAGGCTATTATTCATTCATATATTACATTATTCTGCAACATTTTGCAGTTGTAATTAAATTATTGTTTATTAAACTGTTGCAGTAACTTAATGTCACATTTTAATCATGCTGATTTTTGAAGAATAAAAACTGAAATGGCACTCTTCGTGTGATATTGATTAATTACATTTTTTAACCCCCATATGTTGAATTTTGTGATCATTCACATGCATTGTATTTTAGGGGTTCCAAATACGTAGCCCTTTAGAACATTTTAAGGTTCTATATAGAACCTTTTCTTCCAAGAGTGGCAGACAAATAAGGAGAACTTTCAATTCAATGTTTTTTTGTTGCTCTAGAAAGGATTTAAAGCTTAAAAGTCACTTCAAATAAGAGGAGCAAGTCAATTGCAATTCCTCCATTTGAGGGTGCTAAGCAAATTCAACTGGAATGTGACAGTAAAAGCACTACTTATCTTAGGAGGATTAACCTCAAATTTAAGTCTTACCTTTTTGATTCTGAGTATCCCTGTGCCCCCGTGTGCTTGGGTTGCATGGGTGTGTGTGTGCTTTTATCCCATATGTGTGTGGTCATGATAGAGGTTAAAGCCCATACTTCCCATGCAGATTTGGGGGGCACTTCCTGTTATGCGAGACAGCTGTACTTCCCAGCATGCCTTAATTTGCTTCACGTCAGAACGTTTTTTTGGAGATGAGCTGGTATAAAATGTCTCTGACACCATGTGCCAGTTTATTGGTTCCTATTTCTACCACAAACGGAGAAAGAAGAGGCAAAGGAGGGACCAGCCACCAACTCAGGGAGAGAAGAATCCTGTGACAGGTACAACCACTGTAAAATTGAGTATTTTTGGTCACATCAAAATGGGTAATTGTGAATAAATCTCAATATTTTGATCTCCAGGGTTTACAAAATGGCAGAGTGGGCCGATGTGGTGTATGCTGCCAGACGACGAGGGGACGAAACAACAAGGGAGTCTGTTTTCGTTTATACCAACAGCAATAACACAAGAGGTATTTTATCTTCAGGAACATGGAACGCTGAATGTCATGCCCTTCATGATTGAGCAGAAGAGGAAAATTGTATAATAATATCTCATGTGTTCTCAGATTCCTTTGAGGGACCCAACTACCACATTGCCCCTCGATGGGTGTACAACCTCGCAACAGCCTGGATGTTTTTCGTGGTGGTTGCCTCGGTCTTCACCAATGGCCTGGTGCTGGTGGCCACGGCCAAATTCAAGAAGCTCCGTCACCCTCTCAACTGGATTTTGGTCAACCTCGCTATAGCTGATCTAGCAGAGACTGTGTTGGCCAGCACCATCAGCGTGATCAACCAGATTTTCGGCTACTTTGTCCTCGGACATCCCTTGTGTGTCTTTGAGGGCTACACTGTGTCTGTATGTGGTAAGTTACTGCCCATAGGAAGCAAATGTCTTTGTGAGTGACTGTGAGAAACTGTGAGAAACTTTGTGAGTTTTTCAAATGATATCTAACAATCAACAGGTATCGCTGGTCTGTGGTCTTTGACTGTCATCTCTTGGGAGAGATGGGTGGTCGTCTGCAAACCATTTGGTAATGTCAAGTTTGATGGTAAATGGGCAGCTGGTGGCATCATCTTCTGCTGGGTTTGGGCTGCTGTCTGGTGTGCACCTCCCATCTTTGGCTGGAGCAGGTAAGGACTGAAATATCGCAATTTTCCATTGTAAATGATTTGATTCCGTCATATAAAGAATATCTTCCCTACTCTGAAGATATTGGCCTCACGGTCTGAAGACCTCCTGCGGCCCTGATGTATTTGGAGGAAGCGAGGACCCCGGTGTCCAGTCCTACATGATTGTCCTAATGGTCACCTGTTGTATCTTACCTCTTTCCATCATCATTCTCTGCTACATTGCCGTGTACTTGGCCATTCATGCTGTAAGCTAATCTTACAAAGGGAATACAAAGGGAAATATTTCACTTTGCTTGCAATGGAGAACTGAGCTTGTTTTCGGTCGTCTCTGGCAGGTCGCCCAGCAACAGAAGGATTCTGAGTCTACACAGAAAGCTGAGAAGGAAGTGTCCAGAATGGTGGTTGTCATGATCATGGCTTTCTGCCTTTGCTGGGGTCCTTACACTTCCTTCGCCTGCTTTGCAGCTGCAAACCCAGGCTATGCCTTCCATCCACTGGCAGCAGCCATGCCTGCCTACTTTGCTAAGAGCGCCACCATCTACAACCCCATCATTTATGTCTTCATGAACCGACAGGTAATATTGCATTGTATGGGCATACTCAAATGTGTAGGTGGCATATTCTTTAGTTACTTTAAACCGCTTTTGGAAGGTCAACAATCAGAAACTGTCTTTGCTTTTGCAGTTCCGCGTATGCATCATGCAGCTCTTTGGAAAGAAAGTTGATGACGGATCTGAAGTTTCCACATCCAAAACAGAAGTGTCTTCTGTGGCTCCAGCATAAACCTCATGTCCTACCGAACAAGAGAAAACGGGTTTCTGTGAACTGGACTTAATTGAAATAGTCTTGTACATATGTTGCTTAAAATCTTCTGAAAGAAACTTTTACTGTCCTGGGATCATTTAGCAAGACCTACAACAATTTATTTGCAATGCAATGATGTTTGAGTGTCACTCAAATCTTTCATAATCTTTCAATTTCTTATTTGCAAATATGCTGAAAGATGTAATATTCAAAAACAGGTCCAATGAACAATGTACAAATAATTATGACAATTATTGTTGTTGTCACAGATCTATGTTTTGTAGATGGATTTGCAAATGTAATTTATGTTATATTGTTTCATTGTTTTCTGAAGAAAATAAATCATGCGGCAAAATGAAACATTGAAGTATTTGCTTTCAATTGTCGCCACTGTGAGAAAAAATGATGTGGATGTCGGAGATCTCAAAGAAATTTTATTACAGCATAGCAGTGGCAAGATCACATCCAAATAATATTCAAATCTCAAACCTTTTATCCTGTTACAGTTTACCACTCTTAATGTAAATGAAGTTGCTCTGTTGTAACAGCTGTGGTCTGTTAATGACGTTGAGACACCCCATTTTCTGAGAAGGTTCTCTGTGTCCCCCATTCCCATTCTGCAGTTGATGATGACCATTTGCTCTGGATGTGATCAACCCAAATAGTGAAGAGACAATATAACTTGACTTCCTTCTCTATGATAATTAAGCCAGTTTGGGGATGAGCTTATTCTAAAATATATTTTGGAGTGGTGGAATCTGGGTTGAGGCAGACTACAATTGCTGCTCACAAATTGTAAATAGAGGTCAGTCAATACTGTTTATTTCCCCATTTTAGAATCTTGATTATTTCAGCCCACTGTTAAAATGCACCACTGAAAACCAATGTAAAGTTGATGGGCAGATGAGAAGAACAAGACAAGAATAGATAACTTAAAAAAAAAAAAAAAGAAAAAAAGAAAAAACATAACTGCTATGTTTCCAGAAGATTCATAGAAATGGAAATCCAATAGAATTTCCAAAAATGTCTTGCAAGGGTTTTATAAAGGACATTGGCACATGAAGCAAGGCAACATCTTGTAATCTCACATAAGCTCTATTCCACATCAAGCGGATGAGGATTTCACCTAGCCTGGAAAGTAAAGTCAAGACTTTTGCTAGGAGGCTTACATGACGGAACTCATTAGGCTAAAACACAGTTGAGAGTATTTGAAGAGTTCAGATGCAAAAGCCTCTAAATGCCATTTGAAATTTTCTTCTTTAATGATGATTTTTATCAAACTTGTATATTTAAGTTCAATAATTTCACTTAAATAACAATTAATATGTAATTGTCATTGCCATTTAAGTGAAATTACTGAATACAAGCTTGATAAAAATGATCATTCTAGAAGAAAATTTCAAATGGCACTTAGAGGCTTTTGCATCTGAACTCTTCATTTGTATATGAGAGCATTCATGTGAGTGTAGAGGGGTTGCTGTGCTGTTTTGTCAGTTTGAAGGAAAAACAATAAAAAGTGTGAATCATAAAAAATACTGATGTCTAGTAGTCTATATTCTATTACACATCTACCTGAGTAGACTTCATTTTTACGAATTATAGGTCGACCTATAATGGAGTGGATCCACTCCATACCCTATGGTCCATACCAGAACAATACATTTTTTAATGCTTTCTTGACCTTCTCATTTCAAAGCTTAATTAATTTGCACGTTGCAATAAATTACAGTTAAAAGTCGTTGTTAAAAGTTTAACGTCTTGCTTTAACGACATCATTTCTAAAGTCTTTTTTTATGATTATTTTTTTTTTTACCATAGGTGTTTTATTAAGTTTGCGGCAGCATTGTGCCACCAGACACAGTACATGACCATAGATTGTACAGGACGCAGCGGATTCTCACTTAGACTTTTATTTTGAAAGACGAGATTTTGTCGCTGTCTTCACTTGCGCTTTAAACCACGTGGAGTAATGTCTAAAGCAAGTGAGTATATGTACATTTGAGTCTTTTTTCACTTATAGAACATTAAAAAGTGCTGACACAATGGCCGTTTTATTGAATTACTTTAACCATGTTTCAGAGCAAAAACGAGCGAAACGGCTGGGGTTTAGCGGTAAAAAGGTGCGTAATTTAGCCTACATGCTAATACTGTCAAATAAATGTTCAGTTTTAAAATGCTTACTCTGTCTACCTGTACCAGAAACACAAATACTACCAGTCAAATGTTTGGACTACCCTACTCAATCACTGTTATTTACACATTTAAAATAATCAACATTATAAGACCACACTATAATGGAATTGAGGGAATTATGTTGTTTATCAGAAAAAATAAACAAATCTATATTATAGTTGAGCTTCAAAGTGCCATCTCTTTGCCTAGATAATAGCTCTGAACATTTTGGACCAACTTTATGAGGAATTTAAGATAATGAGAGAAACGTCATTTCAGTGTCCCAGCTTTTGACTGTCAGTGTATGTTGACTGTCTTCTCTGAAGTCCAAGGATGGGCAGCAGTCTCAAGGAGGGAAGAAAGATCTTGGCGTACCCAATATGCGCAGCTTCAAAGAACACAGTCAGAGACAAGCTGAACTCCGAAAACAGAGGGTGAGGAAGGGATCTACAATATTTTCTAAATTTGTTGCACTTTTCCAGATCTGTGTAACATATACTTTTACCTTTATTTACATCACTGATGTTGATGTATATCATAACAAATGCTAATGTGGAGTTTGTGTCGACTGTTTTCTAGTTGGAGGAGCAACAGGAGAGGCAGAGGTTGTCACGAGAGAAAGAGATGATGAAAAGGAGAAGTCTGGACAGTTTCCAGAAAGACATACAGTTACGACAAAAAGAGTTTGAACAGAGGGTTGGTATCTGACATTTTACTATTAAAGACATGGTATTAGCCTTTCACTTGAATAGAATTGAATGAATTCATTGTTTAAAAATATACTACCATACAAACATTTTTTAATGTTTTTTTTTTATATATTTTTTAAATGTTTGCAAATTGCATTATATAATTTAACCTAGGGCTGCAAGATTAATCGCGATTAACATGAAATCGTGCTTAAGATGATTTGGCTTATTGTCAAAATCAATCAAAGAGTTTCAAGAGTTTTTAGGATGAGGCCCATAGATATATCCTGGAATGATGTGCGTTATTGTACTTTTCCGCCAGGGCATATTTGGTGTGTCTGCGTGAGATGCCCTTTGGCTTTCACATGGAGCAGCATTTACTTCTGATCACAGAGCCGTACTTCACTGACAAGCTGTGCATAAAATAATCACAGCCTTTGCCAAATCGCGTGCGGTTTCTATTTGATTAATTGTGCAACCCTAATTTAACCATGTCACTATATTGTTCAACCTCTGTAACACATCCATAAATGATCTTTTTTGCAATTGCAAATCCTTTTAGATCTGCACCTTTGTCTTAATAACTCTTTATTGTTAATGCGATGAATGCAGGAAAATCAAATGCAAATCCTGGAGAAGAATGTAAACTTTGAAACTGAGAATTCAAGAAAGGCTTACTGCAGAGAATTTAAAAAGGTACTGTTTCCTGTACTGGCATGTTTTGATAACCCGTTATACTTCCCCTTAAAGATGAACCTCTATTGGCCATTTCTTAATGACAATTTACTTCTTTTGTCTCTTTTTATTTTAGGTAATAGAGGCAGCAGATGTTATTTTAGAGGTTATGGATGCGAGAGATCCCTTAGGTTGCCGCTGTCCACAGGTCGAACAGGCTGTTGTCCAAAGTGGAACCAACAAAAAAATTGTACTTGTTCTAAATAAAATTGGTAAGAGAGAATTTTTTGCTTGTCGAATTGAAAGCTTCATTATGCAACAGACCAAAAACTGTTTTTTTTTTTCTCTCGACTTTGTCCACCCTAAGATTTGGTGTCCAAGGATATTGTGGAAAAATGGATCAAGTATCTTCGCAATGAGTTTCCTACTGTGGCTTTCAAATCCTCCACCCAGCAGCAGAACAAAAATTTGGTGAGAGCTACAATTCATAGTTTTCAATCACATGACTGGCGCAGAAACCAGGAGAGCAAAACATCCATAGAACTGAAAATTTCCATCTGTTTCAAGCCACAAATATTTAGATCTTCTTTCAAAAGAAAGAAACAAAAATGTGTGAAAAAAAGCAAGTTTTGTCCATTTTTGATCCATAAACAACACCTGCTAACAATACCTAATGTGTAAAAAAATGTTTTTCTATGGAAAAATGCTTAACAAGTAACTGTATGTTCTATTTAAGGTCTTTTGTTCATCTGCTGCCTGTGCATATTATGCATCATTAATAAGGTGTATATTGAATTTTGTAATTTAATATCACTGTACTTAGTATAATCCTAGTTAACAATGACTGGCAAGCATGGAGGAAAGTCTTGTTTTGCTCTCCAGGTGGGTGGTCCTGTAAAAGTGTGACATCATGTGCGAAGCTGCAAACTATGAATGGAGATGTATTTTATTATCAGACTCTGCAAATAATAGTTTTTTTTATTTACTGTGACCTATACAGTATTTGAAGTGTTCAGATGCAAAAGCCTCTAAGCGCCATTTGAAATTTTCTTCTAGAATGATCATTTTTATCAAGCTTGTATATTTAAGTTCAGTGATTTCACTTAAATGGCAATGATAATTACCTATTAATTGTTATTTAAGTGAAATTACTGAACTTAAATATACAAGTTTGACAAAAATCATCATTAAAGAAGAAAATTTCAAATGGCATTTAGAGGCTTTTGCATCTGAACTTTTCATTTGTTATAGTGTTACAGTAAAGTTTTTCTGTTGTCTGACTTCCACAGAAACGCAGTCGTGTGCCTGTGACCCAGGCTACTCAAGAGCTGCTCGAAAGCAGTGCTTGTGTCGGGGCGGATTGTTTAATGAAACTATTAGGAAACTACTGCCGGAACCAAGATATAAAAACGGCCATAACTGTAGGAGTGGTCGGTAAGTTGTTTTTAGCAACATATGTACTAAAAATAAAATTCTGTCATGAATTTCTATAAAAGTTAACGAAATGTTTCAGGTTTTCCGAATGTGGGGAAAAGCAGTTTAATTAACAGCTTGAAGCGTGCTCGTGCATGTAATGTTGGAGCTACACCTGGAGTTACCAAGTATGTTTTTTTTTTTGTAAATTAAAATAAAGTAAAATTTTCTATAATTCTAAGCTGCCTTTCCCTCAAATCAATGTGTTTCAGGTGTTTACAGGAGGTCCATCTAGACAAACATATCAAACTTTTAGATTGCCCTGGTATTGTAATGGCAACCTCAACCAGTGATGCTGCCATGATCCTTCGGAACTGTGTGAAGATTGAGCAGCTGGTGGACCCAATTCCACCTGTTGAAGCCATATTGAGGCGCTGCAATAAAATACAGGTTTGTAACTTGTATTTCAAAAACTTCCGTTTAATTGAATGTGGAATTATAGTGTTACATCTGATTGAGAGCCAGTTGGTTTTTAATCTTTCTTGCATAGATAATGGATCATTATGGAATTCCAGACTTCCAGACAGTACATGAGTTTCTGGCCTTACTTGCCCGTCGTCAAGGCAAGCTGAGGAAAGGGGGGCTTCCTGACTCCGACAAAGCTGCCAAGAGTGTTCTTATGGATTGGACAGGGTGAGGTCACAGTCCCGGTGAATTTAACGTCAGTTACGTGTTGACCTTTTAAGAATTATTTAACAATTATTTAACTGTCTTCTGTGGAAGAAGAAAAATTATATTTTGAAGAATGTTTAAATTGTTTGCACATACAATGAAAGTGAATGGGGTCCAAAATTGGCTTTTATTTTATGGTAAAAAAAAAAAAAAAACAGAGACATTTTTAAAAATATCTTCTTTTGTGTTTCACAGAACAAAGTCCCTTTAAGATTCAAATTAATGTAAATAAGGAAATGTGATATCAGTTGAACATTATTTTGAAAACTTTCATCATTTACTCACTCTCATGTCGTTTCAAGCACAAAGTAATTTGTCCACATTTAAAACACAAATAAAGATGTTTTTAAGTTTAAGGTTTTTTTTTTTTTTTGCGTTTTGGCAGACTGAAAACGCAAGCTTTCTAAAATAGGGTTTTCAAGTTTTTTTAAAAAACATTGTTACCATCGTCTCCATGTAAACAACAAAAACATGAATTTGTGAAAGTGGTGACATGCACATGCCTATTACGTGTTTAGTCTATAGGCGTGTAATGTTTATTTACAAGTGACATTGCCAACTACTGGCCTCGGATGCATCACACAGGCTTGTTAGTCATTTTCGCTGATCCTTGTGAACTGTGATAGTTTAAACTTTTCCGTTTTAAGTACATCATTGTCATGTGAATACCTCAAATTTTTTACTTGCACAGCTTTTACTTGTTGGTCTTGTTGGTGTAAAGTACATTTAAAACTCTTTTTCTGTCTTGTACAGGGGTCGTATCAGCTACTTCACACATCCTCCTGAGACTCACACGCTGCCCACGCATGTCAGTGCTGAGATTGTTGCTGAGATGGGCAAAGCATTTGACTGGGATGAACTGGAGAAGGGAAATCTGGAGGCAATGGCTGGTAACTGTGGCTATACTATCAATGAAATAGACATAACATATTTTATATACGTTTTAGAACTACATTGTAACTATACACACATTTGCCATTATATTTATTTATTTATTTTTTTTTTTTTACAATTTAGAGTGTGGCTCATCTGATGTACAGATGGGGTTCTGTATGGCTACATCTGGATTGACAGAATGTGGTCAAGGAGAAGATCTAACAGAACTGCAAATGGACAAACCATCAGAGGACCCTGAACTTCAAGACACGGTTGAATCAATGGATGCAGATGAGGACCCAGAGGTACATCCATTACATGGTTCAGTTCCTAATTCAAGATAATTTTACATCCACCTATTAATTATTCAGTGCACAAAGGTTAGTTTGGTGGCAATTTGTTATGGTGTGCTTTAAGACTCGGATCCCATTTTTGACTTTCAATTATAATTCTTTTATTAAGTTTGGACCGATGACTGTTGAGCTCAAGGTTCCCAAGACAAAAAGCAGTGGTACAATCGAAGCTGTAGGCCCAAAGCCAGTGGACCTAAAAGACATTCTGAAAGTTGACCCACTCCTTCAAGGTCAGGCCCTCCTGGCTGCCAACAAAAAAAGAAAGAAGCAGCAAAAGAGAGCTGGTATGACCTTCTTTGTTTGGAATAAATTCATCCATGAGTGATCCATACATGTATTACAAGCTGAGAACAATGTTTTAAAACTATGTATTATAACATCACTTGTCTTTTTTTCTTCTTTCACAGATAAACTCGGCACCAAACTTTCAGATTCTCTTACCTCAGCTTTAAATTTCTCCTTCTCTGACAGCTGATGCCATGAGCATTAAACCAAGATGCTCTGGGAGTTCATTTTACTTTCTCCTTAGAAATAATAACATACTTGTATATTTAAATTATCTACAATTTAAAATATGCAAATAAATCATATTTTCTCTTACTGAGAAGAATGACTCAACTAGACCTCTACGTTTATTATTGACCTCCTTTCTTTATACACAAAAATCAGAAAAGTGCCAATTTTTAGTTATTGTGACAACTTTCAAAGTCCTGGTACCAGTTTATTCACTTTTATAAGTACATGTCAAACCAGATTGTGAAGGAAGAGCAGCCTATAATTTAGTTAAAGCATGGCTAATTTTGAAGCAAAATTATACATAAATGCATAAAATAAAATGAAACATATAAAAACATGGATGGATACATACATATTTTGCATACATAAATGTTTTGACGTTAACATTTTTAGCCACTACCTTTCCCCCATCCTTCCCCATTGTCATTTCATAATTTTGACTTTATTACGTTTTCCACATTTTAGAATAATATTGTAAAAGTGAGTACAGGGGTTGGACAATGAAACTGAAACACCTGGTTTTACAACACAATAATTTGTTAGAATGGTGAGGGCTACATTTTGCATCCAAATACAGCACCAATTGACAGATAGAAGTCCTTCACAGTGACCAGAATGATTATGAGCCGTTCCTCTTCCAGAACAGTGTCCAGGTCACTATATGATGCTGGTGGACTCGCTCCTCCAAAACACCTCAATAATATTCAGATCTGGTGACTGTGCAGAACATGGGAGATGTTCAACGTCACTTTCATCTTCATCAAACCCTTCTGTCACAAGTCTTGCTGTGTGTGTTGGTGCATGCTCATGCTGATACATGGTTTGAGCATCAGGTGCTCATGATCCTCCAGAAGGGTTTGGTAGTCCTCGGCAGTGTCGTGTCCATCAAATACAATCAGGATTGTCATGATATTGGAGCTCAAACCATCACTGATCCACCCGTGCTTCACTCTGAAGATTGGCCGCCAGGCATATAGATGTAAAACCTCCAACATTGGCCAGTGTTTCAGTTTCGTTGTCCAACCCCTGTAGGTGTTTAGAATTTTGTCTGGTGCTGTAAAAAAAAAAAAAAACTATTAAAATTCTTTAAGCTTTTAAAACTTAGATGTACACGTGTACATGCCTTTTGGAATTTTTAAAAAAAATAATTATATAATATTATATTTTAATGTTAAATTATCTTTTATTTTGTATTAAGTTATTTTAGTTTTGTCATTTGTATTAGTTTTGTTTCATCTGTTTATTGTTAATTTATTTAAATCTTAGTTTTAGTAATTTTAGTAGTTCATCTTAAAATACTTATTTATTTATTTTTTCTTTCTAAGTTTCTAAACTATTAAGTTAAGTTTAAGTTAACTATTAAGTTAGATTTAGTTTTAGTTAACAATAACAAACAATAAGATGGTTGAGTGTGATGGGGAGAGATGAGGCTCAGTCTGTCCAAAACAAGGAAATCCTCGTGCGAGTAATGGCGATACTTCCAGCAAATTCGCAGTACTTCTGCTAGCACCAGCCTGGTAACTCAACTAACTTTATTTCCACCTCTTTGACGACCTGTCACGTATGTATAATCATTGTTAATCTCACAGTAATTATGCGTGAATGGAAGTTGAAGAAATTAAATGCAGGCAACGTGCCAATTTGACGTTGGATGACATGTCAACTAACGTTAGCTAGCTAGTTAGCCTTGCGCTAACAGCTGGATGGTGCTAAAAACAACCATCCGGGTTTGTTAATTGCGCTTTAGAAACTGTCATATGCAGTTACAGTTGCTTACTGTTGTAAATAATTAATACACAAGTTAATTTGGTTAATGTTAACGAACTTGCTCAACTTCGGCTAATCCCAACCTATAGCAAACTATCCCATAACTCACAGCAGAGCTAACTGCACTATCTTAATTTAAAAAGCGTTTTTTTTGCCCATTAATAGCTAAAGGAATACGTTCAGATTAGTGATATATTGTTGGTATTTAGAGGAGGCAAATCCACACACACACACAAAAAAAAAGAATTTTGGTTAGCTGTCATCAGGTAAATTTTGTACTTCCCATAGACAGTAAAGGTACTTCCCTATGATAGAGCTGCAGATTTTAATCGTGATATTTTACGGATTTATTATAAATGTTAAGCTGTAGTTTTTGGTTAGACATTTTTTTCCTGTAAATTTTATAAAATATTTCACTTGTCATTATCATTTTCATATTGTTGTTTTATATTAGTTAAATGGTTAGTGTTATAGCCTTTAACAAGACAAATATTACAAATATTCTTCCTGCTTAAGAAGAAAAGTCTTAGAGGTTAATGATAGAGTTTTATATTTCTCTGTAAATGCAATTATTTGAGTGTTGACTCAGATTAGTAAAGTTTCCCTGTTCCTCATGTCTTCTTTGTCCAAAAAGAGAAGTGTTATTTCCTTTTATACTGCTGATCCCGTAGCATTATTACCAAATTTTTCTTGATGCTTTCACCATTGCAGCTTGTTAATTCTTCTCATACTTGACCCGTGGAACCAGCGTAGCCATGTCATCCCGAGTGTTGCTACGGCAACAGCTGATGCGGGAGCAGGCGCAGGAGCAGGAAAGGAGGGAGGCGCAGCAGCAGGCGTCTGTCGCTCAGCTTCGCCCAACAGATTCCACTCCCGCCATCTCCGTCACAGTGCCACCCATGGCTGCCCGCCCTCCTCCAGCTCAAGTACCGGTGGAGGTTCTGAAGGTGGGTCTGACCATCTTATGCCTTAAAGAAGTCTCTCTCGGTCGAAAAAACGTTCTACTACTGTTTTCATGTCTAGTAACTGTGACGCAATTAGCTGAAAGTTTAAAGTTTGAAAAAAATGTTCGAAAATAAAAATTGCAAAAGAAATTCTTTGGTTTAAAAAATGTGGAATAAATTTAAATGTAATTATTTTTTGAATATTACATAATCATTTTCAAACATGTATTTTTAAATATTACAGACATTTTTAAAAATAAGGCATTCTTCATTCCACTAAAATTTAGTTTTGATGTCACATGCATAAAATGTAGATTCAACATAAGTGCGAGTTCCCTTTTTTTATATAAAGTGCCAAAATTTCTTTCCTCGTGACTAATACACAGAGTGAAACGTATTGTAGAGAATGAAATGTCACTGATGTCTTTACATGACCATTGACCCAGTGTTTTTACTTTGCTGTAGGTGCAAACTCATCTTGAGAACCCAACTAAATACCACATCCAGCAGGCTCAGAGGCAGCAAGTGAAGCAGTACTTGTCCACCACGCTAGGCAATAAGGTTGCCACACAAACTCTTGGTGTATCACCCGTCCAGCAGTCAAACTCTGCTCCGGAGATGGGCCCTTCTGCAAGCAGTGCTCCCAATAGCCCAATGGCACATCTTAACCTGGGCTCCAACAAAGAAGAGGTAAAGCACATCTAAAATACACTGATGTAGTTGTATCTAAATAGTAGAGGCTACTGTCCCTACTTAGCACCAGTTTATGATGAACATTTTGTAAGCTTTATATTGTAATCGCTGAACACATGCAGAATGTTTTTTTTTAGCACCATCCACCTGACATGTTGGCACATTGCCTGTATTGAACTTCTTCAACTTTCATTCACTTGTAATTATTGTGAGATTAACGAGGCGTGTCAGGTCATCAAAGAGGTGGTTATAAAATTAGTTGAGTTATCAGGCTTGTTGTTAGCAGAAGTACAGCGAGTTTGCTGGAAGTATCGCCATTACTTGCACAAGGATTTCCTTGTTTTGGACAGACTGAGCCTCATCTCTCCCCATCACACTCAACCAGTTGTCGTAAATTTGTCGTAAATTATACATAGTTAATAATCAACTAGCCCTAATCCTAACCCTAATTCTATAGTAAGTACATGTTGTTATTAACATTACTCAGTAATTGCGTATATAATTATACTGTAACAAAGACACCTTCAAATAAAGTGTAGCCCAGTTATGTTTTTACGGTGTGCCACTCTCTTGAAACGTGAACATGTTTAACTTTCTCTGTTCAACTTGCCCTCTCACTAGTTTGTGTTGCATTTAACTGCAAAATACCACACCAGCAGCTTAATTATATCTGCTCCCCTCTTTCACACCATACAGCACTTCTGCTTTAGATCACCCATAAAACACACTCTTGTTAAGAATACAGGTCATTGGTTCCCTAAACAGATACCCACTTCTAAAGCGATTAGATATGCAATAAGACAGTACTCATTCTGCACCTTGATTGCATCCCCTCAGATGGATGATGTAATCGACGACATCATCAGCCTTGAGTCCAGCTTCAATGATGACATCATGTCACTGATAGATTCTGGCCTACAACTCCCGAACACGGTAAGCTGAGCGATGATCTTCATTATTGATGAACACATCCATAACATTACGGCAATGCTCTGAATAATAGGCTCATTGAACCCCATCTATACTTGTGGTAAACCGCCACAAGCCTTTCTGAAAGCTACGGAGGGATCATTTCCTGAATGCAAATGTCACCACCCCTTTTAAGAGTGAATGCTATCCACTGCACTTATGAAGGAGGCGATAAATGGGGATGCATCTCGGCAATCAACATAAATATTCACTTCTGACACTTAACTAACACCTGCCAGGCAGGAATTATCAGGGAGGGCTCAAAAGGGACTGTACAGAGCATGGCACAAGATGAACTCTAGAAACGACTGGCAAAGGATTTTCCTTTATTTATTTTCTGGAGGGAAGAGAAAAAAGTGAGTTGATGTAAAATTTAAAAATAGGTTTTTAGTTTTATTGCAGGAGCATGAAAGAAAAAGAAAGGTGAAACCTTATTCTTGAATTACTAGCCATTTATTAGTTTTTATTTTTAAAGAAATCTGTTTTGAATCTGCTGTTTTGAAATGTGAAAAGAATGAAAAATAGTTATTCCATAACACTGCACTTTAGATGTGTGTGTGAATTTCTCACACCAGGAGTAATTTATAAATTTATATCTAATTTATAGCAAAAAATGTTCTATGCAAAATGCAAAATGTTTTATTAAAGAAAACTTAGAAAATAAATATTTGTTTGTGCTTTAAAGTGGTTAGAAAAAATGAAATAAGAATTGGCTAATATCGGTATCGGCAGGTCAGTCAATGAAAAATCAGAAATCGGAATCGGCCTAGAAAATTGTAATCGTGCATCTCTATAATATGTATATCATTACAATATCAGAAAATGTAAATCAGAATACAATTGCGTAATAAAATAAAATGATTTTAATTAATGTTGATAATGATTAATAATTTGTCTGCAAGTTGTTGTTGTTTCCCTCAATGTGTGAATAATATGAATAGTTCAGTAATTCAATTTGAATGTAATGTATTCACGTCCAGAATAATAGCACTACATTCACTTTGAACAATAAAATGGCAAGATTTTCCCTCAGTTACAATAAAATGTTCCTTGCAACATTTATTTACATTCATGTTCAATAGTATACTTGATGGTAAAACACATTTTGATTTTAATCAATGTGTTTTAGGCTGATATTACCACAATAAGTTTCCTGGTACAGCTCAGTGTTTAGAAGGGCTTTGATTTGATTTCTCTTCTGTTGTTGTCTTAGCTACCAGGTAACCTTCTGGATGTCTACAGCAGTCCTGGCATGGCAACCTCCAACATCAACGTCAGCAATTCCTGTCCAGCAGATCTGCCCAACATCAAAAGGGAATTTTCTGGTAATGTTTTACTCAACAGCCGCCTTCTGTGTTCCATTGGTTTCAAACTGTTTGTTGTGTTATGAATCTGATTCTACACTATTTTGTAGTAGTCATAATAGCTCTTTATTGTCAGACACAGATGCCAGAGTTTTCATGAAGGAGAGGCAGAAGAAAGATAATCACAATCTCAGTGAGTTCAAAAAACACATTCTCCAGTCGTGTATTGTTTGCTTACCGTGTCGTTACATGACTCAGCCCAAATCTGTGTTTTGCCTTGTGTAGTTGAAAGGCGGAGAAGATTCAACATAAATGACAGAATAAAGGAATTAGGGGCTATGATACCCAAATCCAGTGATCCGTAAGTTTCTTTCCTTGAAACCTTAAGCTTTCTAGCACTTAAAAAAAAAAACATATAATATTAGTCAAATGTTTTGGACACTTTTGGCTGATTTTTTTTTTTTTCTTCATGATCTTCAAAACTAATTTCAAGCATAAGCCTTTAGATCAAAAGGTTTTTAAGACAATTATAAATTCCAAGACTAAAAAAAAATCAGTTCTCTTTTAAATTGTTATTAGTTGAGCCACTGCAATTTATATGTGGTACATCATAGAGTGATGTTATGCACTATTGTATAAGTTTGGGTAAGTCTTTTTTTCCCCGAAAGAAATTAACACTTTTATTGAACAATTATGCATTAAATTGATTAAAAAGTGACAGTAAAGACATAATGTTATAATACATATTATAATATTAAATAAATAAAAAAAATTCAGCATATTACTGTTTTTACCGTATGCTTGATCGAATAATTGCCATCTTGGTGAGCATAATATATTTCCTAAGAAAAATCTTACTGACCCAAAACTTTGGAGTGTGTGTATGCATAATATTTATCTCCCGTCTGGATGAATTGGCAGGGAGATGCGTTGGAACAAGGGAACCATTTTAAAGGCTTCAGTTGATTATATAAGAAAACTTCAGAAAGAGCAACAGAGGGCCAAAGAGATTGAGATAAGGCAAAAGAAAATAGAACAATCCAACCAGGCCTTGCTGCTCCGCATACAGGTTTGTGAAACGTTAGCTTTCCTGTCTGTCTCAAAAAAACATTCCCCTTTAACACTTAACTTGTTCCACTTCTTTATTATGTTAAAGCCTGTGAAAAGATAGACTCTTTCTGTTTTTTGCACACAGGAATTAGAGATGCAAGCTCGTCAACATGGCCTCAACACAGCTGTGTCTCAAGGCCTGAGCACAGATGCTTGCTTCCTTCAGCAACAGATACTACAGGCAAACCAGTCCATGCAACCTGGCGTTGAGGAAGGCCACCCTCAGAGCCACCTCAGTATGGATGCTGCCATGGCACAGACTTCCCCCTTCCTCGCTATACCTCACTCCGGTTCCCCGGCTGCTGCGGCAGTAAGCGGCCCTCTCGATCTGGATACCTTTAACTTTGCTGATCTGGACGACCCCACGGCCTCTGATCTTTACTCTGACGTGGGTCTCAGTGACATTCTGATGGATGACAGCTGCACAATGCCCACTGTCAGGTCTTCAGGTGTGCTCTTTTCCCCTGGAGCCTCCAAGACCAGCAGCCACGATAGTAGTGTAAACATGGAGGATGACTTGTGACAGAAGTGACCTGTCTCTGTGTTTCTGTGCTTTTCCTCATGTGGGACGACGTGGAATGTTTTAAAGGGACAGTGAGTTCTTAAAAATTCTGTCGTCTAGTCTAAGCCTGCATGACTTTCTTTCTGCTGTAGAACATAAAGAAGATATTTTGCTAAATTTCTCAGTTAGAGCTGCACGATTAGCAGTGGATCAAGTGTTCTTTGTGAGTTAGTCATTGAATCATTCATTCAAATTAATTAAGCATTTTTACGCAGCAATTAACATTTTGTCAGAACTTTTAGAAATGTACGTTATTTTGTTGAATCGTGGGGCTATTGTAAACAAAAAACTTGTGATTCTCAATTTATCTAGAATCATGCAGCTCTAGTCTGTTGTGTTGAAGTCAATGATTACCAAAGCAGTTTGGTTACCAACTTTCTTCAAAATATCTTCTTTCGTGTTCTGCAGACACTTTTATGGATTTTTCATTGTTTGGTGGACTATCCCTTCAAAGAACTCTGTGTTGTTCTCTTTGATTCAAGGCAGTTCATTTGAAAAATTAACTGTAGTATTACAGGGTTTCATTGGCAGTCAGTGATTGCAAACTCCTAAATGTTAAATCAAGTCTGAAACGCACCCAAACCGTTTAGCCTTTTTGTAGCTAAAATGTAGAACGTTTTAGCCATTCTAAGCCTTCCTTTAGCCTTCAGCTGCCATAAGGTTAAGTCATGTGACATTTATTAATGTGATAGATGTGTTATTAGACTCTGCATTCAGAGCATGCAAGTGCACATATATGTTTTTGGAGTGTAGTAGTCGTCACTTACCATACCAAAGGGATGTTTTGGAGTTGTTTAATTGCAAGAACTCATTATTTATATTGTTGATGAAATTTTTAAGCAATATTTACTGCGTATATCAGAAAAGTCTATTTTTTAACACTTTGCTGGCTTTACTTTCAGCCATATTTACTACTAACTGGTTTGAAAATTCTACTTTTTATTTGTTTGTTTACAACACTTCCTTTTAAGCTTAGTTAATTTGTCCTTTTTCAATGTTACATTGCTAAACAAATTTGTGACGGTGCTGGTGTTCATGTATAATCTTTTTGGTGACACTTTAGAAGAAGGTAAAATTAATTTGGCAACACTACAATAAGGTTTAATTTGTTAACATTAGTTAACATGAACTTGCAATTAATAAATCATTTATTAATCTTACTTCATGTTAATTTAAACATTTACCAATACGTTATTAAAGTCAAAAGTGGTATCTGTTAATATTATTTGATGAATCTAAGAAACTAAAGAGTACCAGTTATATTTTTTGAACTAACGTTCAAAGATGAACTAATGCTGCAATAAATATATTGCTAATTGTAGTTGATGCATTATAACTAATGGAACCTTATTGTAAAGAAGTGTTACTTCCTATATATATATATATATATATATATATATGTATGTATTTAAAAAAAATATTTGGCATTAATACGTCAGGTATCATCAAACAAATTCTATTTATACTAATTTCTACCAATTCTAATACATTTTAAAATAATATATTTAAATATTTTTTAAGCAGAATAAATTAATATGAACAAAAATGATTTAGCAATGTACAGTACAGTTTATACATGAACATTTAATCTCAATGAATTGTTCATTGTTACTTCTTGATACCTGACGCATTAACTTATGTTAATGAATTATGCGCAAAGTGTTACCGATTTTTTTGAATGTATATAAGGAAACAAGCCACATAACATCATGCACAAATAGCTTTTCAGGTGTAAAACGTCTCAAGCTACCTCTGCCTAAAGTGCTTTTTTTAAGCAGTAGATCTAAATCAGCATTTTATTGGATGCAGCTAAATATACACCTACCTGCAAATGTAAATGTTCTGTAGATGTGCTCAGAAACATGACATTGAGTGTATTGCCGGTCAAAGCCAAATTAAGTTTTATCTCTGATCAGACTGTGCCTTTTAGCTTCAAGGAACAAAATTCATTTGTTTGGTTTGTAAATATAGAGGAATTAATACAAATGAGTCTTTACATTTTTAGAAGTTGTTCTCTGCGAGTTCTGCAGCAATTCAAATGAATGTATGATATATAAAACTATATGATTTAAAGCTAAAAGCATAGACTTGGAAAATATATTTCAAAACTTGAATGTTTGAAATGATTTATGTGAAGTCACAATTTAAGCAATACAAATGTTTGTCGCATCTGCTGACAGTACAGTCCTTAGAAATAAGCATTGGTGTGTGTCTAAAGACATATTTCTACTCATTAAAACCGAATTGCCAGTTATTTTTCAGCTGCCCTCTTTATTGCCGTCTTTACTTTCATTGCATCTATACTCAAATGTGTTCTTTTTTTATATTATAAACAGATTTTTTGAAGCGCATAATTTATAATTGAGAAAAAAATATTTAAATTCTAATGTGTTGGTGCATATAATTGGCTAAAATAAACTGATCTGATGAAATAATCTTATGCTTGACTTTTTTTCAAATGTTTGTCTTGTTTTTTTGTTTTTTTTTTAAAGATCTCCATACAAAAATATAACTCATTTGTCATTGTTTATTCAATCAAATTCTCACATTTACCTCCAGTTTCATCTCAACATTTAATATGCCATATTTGATGTGCAAGTTATCAGTTTTAAACAAATAAAACAAAATCTAGTAGCTCTTTTGCATACATTGGCTAACTTGCATTCTTTTCAAACAAAAGAGCTTTAAAACATAAAAAAATGTTTATATTTGAGATACATTTAGTGTAATGCATTCTAACATTGTCTTGCCATATATATACATAAAAATATTTTTTTGCAATTCTTTGACAATTTATTTGACCAATTATGTTTACTCTCAAATTGGAATAAGCTGGACAAAAACGTTACTATTTTAATATATTGTAGTTCATGTGTGTAAATGCAGCCGTGCAGTATCATAGCCACAATCAACCGGCAGATTTACATGCTTGTGAAATCAGCACATTGCATTCCAGCCTTATTTGATAGTCATGACCAGTATATAAATGACAATGAGACTATGCCGCTAGTGAAACAGAAGCTGAGAGAGTTCCATGCCAAGCTCCAGACACTCGGCCGTCTGTAGACAGATGTCGCACATGGAGCAGTCGAAGATTTTTTCTCCACAACTGCAGCCGCACGCCTCCATGTACTCGGCACAGCTGCAACACTGGCAAAAATCTATGAAGTCCTCCAGAGAGGAAGGGTCGCAACAACATGCTTGAGAGCAGAAAGATGTGCAGATTGAGGCCACGCAGAATTGACAACCATCACCAACAGCCAGCAAGCAATCCCAAAACTTGCAGAACAAACACGCTAACAGAAAGGATGCACACAGGTCTAGAAGTGCAGGAAAAAAGAGAAGAAAATGGATTATGTGTGAGACTAAAAGCACGTTCTGCATTCAACACAACATTTTTGGTTACGGTGAGCCATTTACAATGGAACTGAATGAGGCCTTATAATAATAAGCTTATAGTTTTATAAAATAACTTAAATTGGTCTGACAAAGTCACTATAAAATCAAAATAGACAATTCTTGCTTGTTGGTTTTTTATGGAATATTGCAGTATGCATTATAAATCATTTGTCCATGCACATCATTATTTATTTATTTTTTTTATTTATGTGCCATTAGCCTGGATGCAAGCCCGAACCCCACCCAAAACATTTTTTTGGTCGGGAACTTGATCCATTCAGTCTGGACTCGATCCATTCAGGAGTAATTATGATCGGTTCAGAAATCGTCGGGCCAATCAAATTGCCAGGGTAGGCTTTATACGATGATGGACAAATGATCTGCAGCTACGTAATCATCACGTTATCAAAGAGCGCTAGGTTTGAACTGGTTTCCCTTAAAGATGACTGCAGCTGGAGAACTGAGATGTATAGATTCCGCCTGTTGTAAAGGAAATCGACAGCACATTAATTTTAAAAGACGAATAGAGAACTGAAATCGAGGCGTTTGTTGAACGGAAAGATGTGTTTGCCGTCCTTCGATTCGGCAAAAGTTTAAAGAGTAACTAAACCCTAAACCAACCTCGAATCATTGATTCGAGTACCTTTTTTCACATTTGTGTATAAAGAGTTTTATTTCTACAATATATGGTGTAAAAACGTCTTAGTGCTGCCCTCTTCAGGTTGAACGGTGGCTACTGCAGTTGAATTTTCCTATTGGATGTTCCGCACTTCGTGACGTATGCAGGTTTCAGCTCACCACGCTCTTGGTACGAGCTACGCTCTTGGCAATATAAAAAAAACAGCTTGTTTTGTCAAAACCAGTCAGGAGTTGGAATTGGGAGTGTTGAAAACGATCAGGATAGAGTGTTTTAGCATCTATTTCGTCCCCTCTATCTCCGCTGGGGTCAGCATTTTTCAAATATTGCCAGTGGGTGGAGTCAGGCTCTGAACAGGGGTTTAGTTACCCTTCAATTTATCGGCTAGCTCCGATGGTCGCTAAGAAGATGGGACGCAACGAAAACCCTGTGGTCGTTGTGGTTTCTCCTTTGGTCGCACTCACGGAGGACAAAGTAAAAGAAGCAACACTCATCATTTTACTACTTCCATCGTGCATGGTGCAGTTGAGTTCTGTTGACAACTATGCTATGCAACTATGTAGCAACAATAGCAAAACACAATCATTCAATTATTTATTAATTCCACCTTTCTAGAAACAAGTCCCTGACTGTAGCCACCAGTTATAGACCCCCCTCTGTGCCCAGATGTGCCCTAGACCAGTGTTTCTCAACCCTGTTCCTGGCGGCACACCAACACTGCGTGTATTCTTTGTCTCCCTTATCAAACACACCTGATTCAACCCATCAGCTCATAATCAGGTGGGTTAATGAGCTGATGGGTTGAATCGGGTGTGTTCGATTTGGGAGACAAAGAAAACACGCAGTGTTGGAACAGGGTTGGGAAACACTGCCCTAGACAATCTATGCAAACTGATTGCTCCCCATTTATCTTGTTGAGTTGTTATTGTTGGGCGACTTAAACTGAGACATGCTTAACGAACCCACTGGATGCATCAAAAATTTGCAAATACGGGCACCCTCATAGATATTGCCCTAACTAATATGCCCACTAAATACGTCTCAGGTGTCCTTAGCCAAGACATCAGCGATCACTGCATAATTGCATGTGTTTGTAATGGGTCTGCAATCAAAAGGCCTCCTCTTATCAGTGACAAAGGCTCTCTAAAATAATTCTGCGAACAGGCCTTCTTAGCTGGTCTCTAGTCTAGTCTCTAGTATACAGCCCGTGGTCGAGCCCTCTTGAGGCGTCGTTTGCTAATCGACGAAACACTGAGGATGGAAGGTGCCCACTTGAAGACCCTAGAGATGTCCCCTACTCGACTACATACTGTAGTTGTGGCCGTAAATGGATGGAGAAGCAGTTTACTGTAAAGCTACGTCTTAGTTTTGCTTATCTTGCCGAACGCCAAGTACAAATAAGCATTAAGTTTAACATCTACTCTCGTGTAATGGAAATCTTGATTTACTGTAAATTTAAACTTCCATAACTTTTTATTCACTTCATCAATAATTTGCTGAGTGTTTCCTTGAAAACAAGACCATATAGGTCTAGATCCTGAGGTAATCAAGTACCGTCCATTTTCCATTTAACGAGAAGCCGTTACACTCATACAGTATATACATCACAAAAGGGAAGAAAAGACTTTCGCAACTTCTGTTTCATGTCGACTTCATGAAAACTAGTATTATTTGAGCTGTAAAGTTGTTTAAATCATATTTTTTTAGTCTTTAATGTTTACACATATTGTTTATGTCTTATGGCCCCATTCACTTCCTGAGTGCCTCACTATAAAACAGATTTTTTTTTTTTTAAGAAAAGGAGGGACGAGTCTAAATTAATTTCTGTATTAATCAACAACATTGCGCCACAAGTGCTGTCGATTGAGCTTAACTTGTATTGAACCCAGAATATTGCTTTAATGGCTGTAACAGACAAAGTATTGATGTGGTAACCACAAATAAAGCAGCTTTGCTGACATTGTAGTCCATCATAAAACTGCTATCCTGTTTGTATACCTTTAAGAGCCCTTTATACTACTAATCAGCACCACACTAAGAAAGTTTGGGCCATGCAAGCATTCCCTCATAAATTTAGCTAAATACTGATGATAAAACATGACAGGAAGAAGGAAAGCTGTTATCAGTCCTGCTAGCGGGGATTTCAGCTGCATCTATAATGCATTAGATGTCATAAAAATTGAATACCTCATTTCATTGAGTCAAATGTAATTTGAGGTGTTGCTTACCTTCAGCAGGGGCTTTCAGGCTCAGGCGACTTTTCAACGTGGAGGTGGAGGAGTGGCTGATTTTGCTATGACGGTGTGTTGCTTTAAAAGCGGTGATATGTGCGTTTTTGAGGTGGTTTGTGGGTAGCTGAACACAGACAGGAAAAGCATCACTGATGTCTCTGCCAGGTGCGTCTTGAAGTGGCTTTTTCACATCTGCTGGGACTTCTTTGATATGCACGTCTATGATGAGGAGACAATAATAAAGTGATTTGGATGTTGGCTTAAAGAATGATAAGTAGTGTGAAGGATATTTACCAAATGCTAGTGGTTTTGTTTTACTGAGAGGAGAAATGAGACATGAGTTTTCCTTCCTAGAAAGTTCATCTGTTGGTGAGAGTTCATTATCCTTTAGACATGTTCTGGTAGATTTTAGGTCTTTTTTGTCAGATGACTCTATAAAATAAATAAATCACATTATTAGTTGCTCTTTTCCTCTGTGATTAATTAAAAGAGAACGGAAAAGTCTTACCAGAGTTTTGAAAAGTTGATACACTTGGAACTGAATGAACTTGCGGGTCATCTTCACGAAAGCTGGATTTTGATCCAATTGGTGACCGGCCATGTTCCTTGTCATGGTCACAATTCATCTTTTCAAACTCCTCTCACAGTATTTGCTACAACAAGAATAAGTGTAACGATGAAGAGTGAAAATGCCAGAGCATTTGAACCATGTCATAAAATATTCAAACAAAGGAAGCACAAAGAATTAGTCCGTGGCATATATTAAATACTAATGGTAAAATGCTATGGAGGAAGCTAATTGATCACTTGACATGTTGATATATTATGGAACTAACAGTTAATAATGTGAACACCATTTTTTTTTTAGACTATTATGACTACTTTTTACTGATTATTTTTTATTTATACATTTGATATGCGCAAAGTATTCAAAATATTATACATATACGCTAAAAAATGCAAAGCTTAGCGTAAAAAAGTACTGATGGAGCAAAATGTGCCAGAGTCATTAATCTATTATTAATCTCAATCCATTTGGCAAACATATTGTGTGACAGGGATAAGAGGCATCCTAGATGTAAAGAGGGCAATAAATTTCAGCAACCTATTAGTCCAATGTTTGCTTACCTTGAGTTAAAGAGATGCCAGGAAATTTTCTTTCCAAATAGATTTCAAAAAATAAATAAATAAATAAATAAAATAAAATCAAAAATATATAAGTTGCCAGGATATTAATAAACAGATATAGCACCTAAAATTATTCAAATACAATATAAATGAAAACAAAATAGTATATAAATATAATTATTAAAACGAATTCAAAATTATAAATTATTCAATAATCTCCAACATACATTTCACTAAAGATATTTTAAGACCACATATTTATCGTAAAAACACACCGCTGCCTCATGTAGCCTAAACAGTAGGATATCAACTTGCGGCATTGTCACCAAAACTATCCAGGTACAGATATTAGCAGGCGAACAGTGATGTAATATTTATAATATTTACTTTGTAAACCTAAAACAATTCATGTAAATCAACAACAATGTTGCCTCCCGTCTTTTTCAACTTGTTTTCTACTATTCCCAAGTTAAACGGTACAATCTTACGAATTATTATCTACGATCATTCAAGGTTATTAAAATTCACTAACCTTCAACACCACACTCATCTCACTCACATCGCCCCTCGGAGATACCAGATTGATAGCCTGCACTTGCTCTGCAGGGGCCGTTGCCTCATCATTATCCATTCGTTAGCATGCTCATAGTGTTGATAGGACCACCCCCAACCCCCCAATAAAAAAAAATTACAATAACATTTATTACAATAACAATTATTATAAATAATAATAGTACTTATTATTATTAGAAGTAGTAGTGGTAGTATACTTTTTAGTATTGTTGATATTAAATATTATAAAATATTACTTTTTTATCAGAAAATATATTGATCATTAAGTCTTTTAATGATTGTCATGTGATAGAATGTACTTTGTAAACGACCTAGAAAATGAACATAGCTTTCCCCCATGAGGACTTTTATTATGGCAATCAACCCTCTTCCTAAACAGAACCGAAACAAGGCTCTTGTCCGCTGCTCAAAGGAACAATTAGCTTTGTAATATTGCTCCAGTTCCTATTTTTATTTGGGGAATTTGACTGTTATCATTGTCGGAGCATTCTGGACATTTACGTGTGAGACATTATCTCACTTTATCCTTATTTGTTCTGTTTGATCGGATCTTCTAGAAGGCGGTGAAGCAGCCATGGTAAGTCTGCTATTATGATTTGATAGCATATTAGCTCATGAGCAGTCAAAATAATACAAAATTAGTTATCTAAAAGCGATCGTTGCAAATGAAAGAACGAATTATTTATTTCACTAATTATATTTGCAAACCAGCACTAGATTTTCAGCACCGGATAGTTAAATCTATTTTCTCGCTATCAAATGTGCTATCATGCTAATATGTAACGTTATTGTAACACTGATGTTAAACTTTGGCCAAAACATGTACATTTTTGTTTTGTTTTAAATAAATAAATAAATAATTAATTAGTAATTAAATTAGATAACTAATTAAATTTATTTTTTATTGTTTATTATTTCTAATTAAATACCATACAAACATAGTCTTTGAAGCACGAGAATGTTTTGATGATGATATTTCCATTGATTGTGTTTTATTGTATTGATTGTATTGTATTTTCAATGTTTTCGTTCAATTGTCTTCATAGGACAGCGAGATGTCTGATATGGACCAGGCTCCAGCTATGAAGAACACTGTAGTAGATGGAGAGAATGCTCCTCTCTACTGCATTTGTCGAAAACCAGACATTAACTGCTTCATGATGTGAGACAAATCTCTTCAAAAATTCTTTCACAAAGAATGAGAATGTGTATGTGTCCAAACTGAGAGCTTAATTTGGATCACATCTTTTTCCCACAGTGGTTGTGACAAGTGCAATGAGTGGTTTCATGGTCACTGTATAAATGTGACAGAGAAGATGGCCAAAGCTATAAGGGAGTGGTACTGTCACCAGTGTCGGGGTCAGTGATTAATTGCCTTTTTTTTACCACTGTTGCTCACCTTAAAATATTTAAACATGCATTTTGTCATATTAAAATATATTTTGTTACAATATCAGCTCATCAGTTTTAATTCTTTATCTCTTAGAAAGGGATCCATCTCTTTCAATACGCTACCGGAAAAAGAACCGTGATAAAGACATTGAGCCAGAGAGGGTTGAAAAACGATCCAGCACACCAGAGTACAAGATCGATAAGCGCCGTGGGTCTAAAGTTAGTGTTTCTTCAGTATGTTTTTATATCTAAGTTTGCTTGTTATACACTCTGCTCTTTCTCGATTGCATTATTGTTGGGCAGTTTAACTATTTTTTTATGGTATATACAGCACTTTGCAAAGGTCTGAGGCATGCTAGTATTTTCACCAACAAAAAAATGGTTTTAAGCCAGTTATTTATATCTTTTGGTTGGAGTTTGTCAATAGGAAATATCTGTTTACATTTCTAAACACTCCTTTTGCTATTAATTGAAATAATCCAATGTGATTTTGTATACACAAGGAGTTCCACACAGATATCTGATCTCACCATCACCGAGTCCATCTGGGAGTACAAAAAAAACGGAGACTTTGCAAGCATTTTGGAGACGTTGCCACTGTTTTTTCTGGATTTAGTCTATCTTAGCTTTTTTATAATCCCAGACAGACTCGATAATGGTAAGATTATATCTCTGTGTCCTTGTGCATACAAAATCTCACTGGATTATTACAATTAACGGCAAAAATAATGTTTAAAAAATGTAAACTAATTTTTCCCACTGACCCACTACAGCAAAAGAAAGAAATAACTGACTTGAGGTGAGAATACTAACATGCTTAAGATGGTACTGTAGGTTACACTTTATTTTAAGGACCTAGTTACCATTTAATTATCCAATTAAGTACTGAGTAATGTTAATTAGCAACATCTACTACTATAGGGATAGGATTGGGATTTGGTTTAGGGTTTGATTCATGTAATTAGGCATAATTTGCTATTATTACTATAATAATTGTATATAACTTGTGTAACAAGAACACTGTAAAATAGTGTTACCGGTATAAAATAGTTGTTTTTCTAGAATTTCAATAAAAGAAATGGATTATTAGTATTTTTTTATTTTAATAATAGCAATGCCCATTTTGGATATAATCATCTTTAGTTCTGTTTCTTCTCAGTTTGTCTTAATTTGAGCTTAATTTTAAAACAAGACTGCCTAACTTTCCTGAACTCATTAAACCTGAATGGATACTATAGGAATTTATAATTATTACATTTATTACTGATATTATAGAATTATATAATATTGTGGTCCTCTAACTGCGTTCCAGGTGAAGCGATCAGCCCGAATGTGTGGTGAATGCGAACCCTGCACTAGGAATGAGGACTGTGGTCAGTGTGACTTCTGTAAAGACATGAAGAAATTTGGGGGCCCAAACAAGATTCGTCAGAAATGTCGTCTAAGGCAGTGTGTCGTCCGTGCTCGGGTGAGTATCTTTTATGTAGGTGGTTTATTAGGTAGTTTTTGTTTCGATGTTAACCCCCTCTCATTGTTTTTGCAGAAAATGCTACGTGTTCGGGACGAGGAGTTTTCTCTGCGTGAGAGGAAGGACAATATAATGCACAGAGATAGACGATACTTAGATGATTACGACGAGAACGATATGGAGCCATATGAGCACTACAAGGACAGAAATGCGGTAATGGCTAATTGCTGTTGCTCAACCACAACCACTTAGTATATATACATGCATTCATTTGAACTCTTGTCCAGTTATAAGACGTTTCTATAACATGAGCATGTTTGAGATTTGCTTGTTAGGGATGATGCTTTAGGTTTCAGCACTCAAAAATATATCTCGCCCTTCTCTTGTGACTTGTTTTTTTTTTAGTCATGGGGCAGTGATGATGACGATGAAGACGGACAACTTTACAGTCCTGTCCCACGGAAGAAAGCTATAAAAGTCAAGCACGTCAAGAGGAGAGACAAAAAATTTGACAAAAAGGTGCAATGAGGAACACGATGCTTAATACATGATTGTTTTTTTTATTGTATTTAAGAAATAGTTTTTGTTAATTGTGCTCATCTTTTACAGAAAGAGTCCCGTCGCCACAAGCAGAAACAGAAGCACCGTGATCGTTTGAGGCACAGCGAGAGGGGAGACGGCAGACATGGAGGAGACATGCAACAATGCCTGGGGCCGAACTGTATTGAGCTGACACGTCCAAACTCAAAATACTGTTCTGAGGACTGTGGCATGAAGCTGGCTGCCAAGTAGGTTATTTCAATAAGTCGGCATGAAACAGAAGTTGATGTCACAAGTTATTTTGATTAAAGATAAATTATTTATAATAAATACTGCTTTATACCATAACAACAAGAAATTGAGATTTCATGGTGACTTTAAGTGCAGCCAACTAGCATTGAACGATCGTGCAATGTTATGCCAACACCAGTATGATGTGTTTTAAAAAAGATCGTATTGATTTTTTTTGATCTGCTGATCTGTGCAGCCGGATCTACGAGATCCTCCCGCAGAGAATCCAGCAGTGGCAGCAGAGCCCCTGCGTCGCTGAGGAACAGGGCAAAAAACAGCTGGAGCGCATCCGCAGGGAGCAGCAAGCTGCACGGATGCGCCTTGCCGAAATGGAGCGTCGTTTCCACGAGCTCGAGGGTATCATTGCCAAAGCCAAGCAGCAGGTGGTCCAACAGGATGAGGATGTGAGTATCCAGTAATGCTTTCTCATGCTAATGTCATTTGAATTTTATAGGATAACTGGTTGGAGACAGAATGTGTGTTTTTCAGGGATGTAGTCATATTTATGTAACGCTAATAGTGTCCTTTCTTGCAGGTGAATGAAACTGACAGTGAGGACACAGACCTTCAGATATTCTGTGTGTCCTGCAGTCACCCCATCAACCCCAAGGTGGCGCTGAGGCATATGGAGAGATGTTATGCCAAGGTCAATATATGTTGTTTTCTGAGCCCATTTATTGGTTACTGATTTATCATCACCTGAACATTGAAAATTAATTTGTTTAATACTAACGCTTGGTTTACTATTTTAACAGTATGAAAGCCAGACCTCATTCGGTTCCATTTTCCCCACCAGAATAGAAGGGTAAGAGAGATACATTTGAAATTATGTTCTAGTACAGCAGTTACGATTGAATGTCCCTGAATACCCGGTTTATTTAGAGAAACTCAATCTAAGTGTGCTTGCTAAATTGACACTTCCTCTATTTGCTAGTTATCTTTATGGAATTTAAAAATATTTTAAATACCCTTATTATTATTTTATAATAGCCATGTGATAATGGGTAGTTGCAACTTAATTATTTTTCAACCAAGACTGTTGGTTATTTAAATAAATATTGTTATTGAATATTTATAGTAAAAATACATTATAAAAGTAAGGGAAAAAAACATAAAATACATATATATATATATATATATATCATACATTATATAGTTCTTTTTTTTAAGAATCCTTTTTTTTTTATTCTCTCAGGGCAACAAGACTCTTCTGTGATGTGTACAACCCTCAGAGTAAAACATACTGCAAGAGACTCCAAGTTTTATGTCCAGAACATTCCAGAGACCCAAAGGTGAGAGTTACAGTCTTGCAATAATTCTGCTCAGTCTAAACTACATCTTATAAAATCTCTTCGTAACTTGATTTGTGTTCAGTACATCTCCATTCTGCTT